CGCCCGGGGGCCCCGGCACGCTCCTGGCTGAGGACGCCCGGGGAGCTTTGGCCGTCTCGACAAGCGCGGGGCCCCCCGAACCCCACGGTCCAGCAGCTCACTCTCCAAGCCCGCCTCTCCCCCGCTGACGTCTTCTGAACCTCACGCTGTCTCCTCCCGCGGCTACATCGCCTCCCGCTGAGCCGCACTGGCAGAGGCCACCGGTGGCTCGCACGGGATCCGCGAGACCCCAGGAACCCTGCGCCGCCAGGCCCACCGAGGCATTTGCCTCCTCCAGGGTCTCCCCTGCAACCCCAGACTCAAGGACGCCACGCTGTCCCGGAGTAAACGGGTCTCGGGAGCCTGCGGTCGTGGGGGCTCCTCCAGGAGTGGGCTCGCCAGCGCGGCGGTGGGGCGCGTGGCACTGTTAATTGCGCGGGCTGCAGGGCTGCAGGGCTGCAGAGGCGAGCTCCGGGAACGCGACGGGCGCGGGCCCGGAATCTCGAGTCATTTATATACTCCACGTGTGCGTGATTTCCATGGAGCCGAGTATCACGTGGAGACGGTGGCAGACCAATCCCTTAGAGCCGGGCAGACTGCAGAGAATCGTGGGAGAGCCTGTCCTAACAATGTGAAGTTCTGTCACTTGCTGTGTGTACAACAGCTAGTGTGGAGCGTGGCCAGGCTCCACGGGCAGGGGGCTGCTGTCTGGCAATTCTGGCTGAGAAGAGGCAGAGAGGGACGCGGAGGACCCAAGGATACTTACTGATGGCTGGACTGACCCTGACGGGACTAACTTTCTGGAATCCAGATCGGTTCCCTCAGTTCACTCTTTAAATGTCCCAATTCTTAGGACTATGCATAGTTCAAGGTTTTTGTTTATTTGAGTTGGAGTCTCACTCCACTGCCCAGGCTGGAGTGCAGTGGCACACTCACGGCCACCTCGGCGTCGACCTGCTGGGCTCAGGCGAGCCTTCTGCCTCAGCCTTCCAAGTAGCCAGAACTACAGGTGAGCTACCTCGTTCAGCTAATTTTTGATTTATTGTAGAGACAAGGTCTCACCAAGTTGCCCGAGCTGGTCTTGAACCTGTGGGCTCAGGCAATCCATTTGCCTCGGCCTCCCAAAGTGCTGGGACTACAGCTGAGCCACCAAGCCTGGCCTCAAGTTTTTTTATTTTTATTTTAAATCCTAGGCCAATTAACCCCAGGTTCCACAATCTTCAATTCTGTGTCTCATTTTTTTTTAATAGAGGTAATGACAGCTTCCTTCTAGAGTTCTTGTGAAGATTAAATGAAACAGTCTGAACCGTAATAAGTACCCAATATAGAGGCATTATTTTTCTTTTGGCTTTCAAGACACAGCATTCTCCTGTCATCTCCTTGCAGCTTCTCCGTGTACTTGTTGTATCACTCCATTACCAAACACTCCTTCAATACTGGTATTTCTCAAGTGGTTGGTCATCTCAGCTAGCTGATCTTCATCCATTCTCATAATTTCACCTATGGCTGGCTGTACCCTGATGATCCCCAAAGCCTGTCACCAACCCTGGTTTCCATAAGTTTCGAATTATCCAACAGCACACTAAACCTAAGTTAGATATCTCAAGCATCTGAAATATATCCGAAGCAAATATTAACCCTCTTTTCTTAAACCTGCCCCTTCTCTTCCCAATTAAACTGTAAACTCTGGGACAACAGGGACCATGTGGGACACGGCTATACTGGACCCTAGAAAAATGCTTGGCGCAGAGGAGTTAAATATCTGAAGGGCTGAATGGGATCTATGAATAAGATGAAGGCTTTAAGAGAAAAATGACAAGAACCCCACAAAGGCTCTGGGTCCCTTTTCCAGCTGGGATTCCTTGGGGAACGGCCACCCTGTGTGATCTGGGCTAACAGCTGGGCCTAAAGCTCTGGCCCTTCCTGTCACTACCTCATCTCAACAGTCACAGACCCGTGAACACAAGAACACTTCCCGACCATGGAAAAGCATTTGGGTTTTATTTGCTAGTTTAAAGGGCTTAGAAAATGCTGATAAACACAAGCTGTTCTTGGAACTGAATGAGACATGCTTCTACCATAGGGTTTTCATCCGAGAATGACTCTTCCCCTGCAACAGTCCCTGTTGGGTCCCTTGTTGCAGACAAGTTCCGTGGGAACGCATGAAAAAGAGGCAAGGAAACAGTCCTCGTGGGAGACTAGTCTCCAAAGGCAGGCTTCTGCCGCTTCCTGTGAAGTTTATAAAGCATACTTCTCTTTGCTTACTCGTCCAGAGTGAAGTCAAAGGGTTCAAAGGCTTTCCGGAAGCGACGAGCTAGGGTCTCCTCCTCTTCCTTGCTGCTCTGACATTGCCTCCAGTCAGACTTGTCAGGAATATTAAGGATGGCTTCACTAGCCAGGACCTCCCTGCAGAAAGAGCACCAAGAAGTCAACATGGACAGTATCAGAACAAAACCCCATTCTCCCTCCATCCTTCTCCAGACAGAGAGCTCTCAACATCACCCAAAGAAGAGGTGCACATTCCTCTAACTGCTCTCCTGCCAAGCGCCATCTCTGCCATCCTAGCTATCAGAATCATGCCCAGCTCAGACTGACCACCTTCCTGACCCTTCAAACTCCATCTCCTTCTCCCACTCCTGAACAGCATGGAACATTACTGGAACTCAGAGAAGCAGCATGGCAGAGCACAAAGAGGACAGGGCCTGGTGTAAGAAAGATCAGAGACGGCTCCATCCTCGGCCCCGCAACTAGTCACCTGTGACGTAGCCAGGTTGCTTCATCTGAGTCCTGACTTCCTCACTGAAATGCAAGTAAGAGCTCCCGCCTTCCAAGTTCCTGTGAGGTCTGGAGACAGCACAACAAAGCCTTACCCTAGTTGTGTAGTCTGGTCATCCTAACGAGACCCTGACTTTGTGGAGGGCAAGCGCAGAGCCACACTGGTGCCACACCCACTCTGGCCAAGGCTCCCCGACACTCCTTCTAGAGGACCCGGGCCCAACGGCCCGAGTTCAGTGTCAACTAAGCAACTCAGGACTTGAGTCTCAGGACTAAAGAATAACTGCACACCCGCAAGCTGCCCTCGACGGCTCCAGTTTATCTACTTATTCTGACACACCAGAAATGATGCTACATGGCTCGTTTCCCACTTCCATAGTAGGAAGAAGAGGTAGAACAAAGCACACAAGTCTCTAAAAGTCAAAGAACCCAAGCTCAGCTTCTACCTCCCTGGGCAAACTTTGATCCTACTCTTTCAGATGTAAAGTGAAGAAAGAACCACCCTTGTTATACAGCTGGGGGGAAAAAATGCCATTTCAAGTATTTTGTGAACTAGGAAATGCAATATAATTATAATTAGTATTGTGAAAAACACTCAAGATTGAAAATACAACTCTCATGAGCACAAAACCATTCTGTGTGGCTTTACATGCCTAGGCGTTATCTGTAATCATGCACTTCTGTCGTCAGTGTCCATATCCACATGTTGCTAAGTCAAACAACAAAAAGATCATGTCAGGTGTCTGGAGCTCATAACACATGTGTTCCCATTTGACAGCTCTCTTTTTGAAAATGTAGGCCGGGCGCAGTGGCCCATGCCTGTAATCCTAGCACTTTTGAAGGCCAAGGAGGAAGAATCACTTGAGCCCAGGAGTTCAAGACCAGCCTGGGCCACATAGCGAGACCTCATCTCTACAAAAATAAAAAAATTAGCCAGGTATGGTGGTGCATGCCTGTAGTCCCAGCTACTCGGGAGGCTGAGGCAGAAAGATCACCTGAGCCCAGGAGGAGGCAGCTGCGGTGAGCTGTGATCACACCATTGCACTCCAGTCTGAGACCTTGTCTCAAAACAACCAAAAAAGAAAATGTAGACAACTACATGTACTGGACTTGTCCAACAGGGAACTATCTTGGATGCCTTCTAGGTTAGTTTGGAAGGGATCCACAGTTCACTCAAAGCCCAGTTCTAAGTAGGAAAAAAGTGCTGCCTTAGCAACAGATGCCGATATGGACACTGAAGACAGAAGTGCATGACTGCAGACACACCTGGGTGTCAAGCACACCCAGACACCAGCATGAGCTGCTGTCTCTGCACCTGTGCCCTCCCCTCCACCCTCCTCTTCTTGCCAGCAGCTTCCCGTGTTCACTGGCCTCCCCTCTGCAACTCCCTGTGTGAGTCTGCAGTCGTGTTATGCCTGACACGAGAGGCTGGAATGAAGCCCACCCCAGGCTGCTAGAACACCACGGAGCAACAAGGTTAAGCCCTCAAGTCCCGGGGCCCAGCAGGTCTGGGTTTGGACCTCTCACTGTATGACCATCGACAAGCTCTCGAACCCCTGGGAGCCGCGATCCAACACGGCAGCCACTAGCTTACATTCCAGCTGATTAAAATTCAATTAAAACTCAGTTGGGGGGGGCCACACAACATCCATAAGGGTGCCTGGTCTCAAAGCAGGCAAGAGGAGACCAAAGGAGGCCCAAACTTCACCTGTGCGATGTCCACTTGTATACCTAATCCTGAATTGTGTCCACACCTTTAAAGTAAAATAAGTATGTTAAAAAACCCAAAACCCAAGAAACGGAAACTCAGTCCTCCGCCACGTGAGCCACAGCCGGCCAGTGACGACGGCCCAGGAGTATGAGCATTTCCAGCACCGCTCATCTGGGTGACAGCACCTGCCTTGTGAAGACTGAACGAGGCGATGCCCAGAAAGCTCTTAGCACGAGGCCTGCACAGAGCACACGCTCAGCTCATGAGAGCACCTCACTTCCTTTGCCTGGAAGGCCCCACTACCCTCTACACGTTTCTCTCGGCTTCGGCGTCAACCCTCAGGAAGCCTGTCACCGAGCAGAAACGAGCTCTCTTCCCCCGATGTCCACAGCACCCAGTCCCCCAAACACTGGCATGGACGCTTCACATTCTGCTTGACCTGACTGTCACTCAGCTACATTCCCACGTGTCTCAAAACCCCTGCTCCCTTTGGGGCAAGTGCCGTTTGCTGTTTGGCTTTTATCAACCACTTTGTTCACAATAGGGCTAGTGAAAATACATCGAAAGGAAAAACATACGAACCTTCCAAACTGCAAAGGAAAACTCTTTTTGATTCTGTGGAAAAGCTTCTCTCCGGTGTCAAGTTCAACGTAAAAATATGCTGTTCCTGGCTGTGCAATCTAAAGCAAACAGTCGTATGGGGACACACAATGAAGCGTTAAGGAACGTCGGGCTTCCTGCTGCTCCCGGGAAGGCCCTGACTTCACGGTGATGCCTCTTGGCCTCCAGTCTAATCCACACCCTGTGGTCTGCACTGTCCACTGCCTGCCGCACACTTCTGGAGTCCTTCACGGTGCCACACCAGACCACGGTTCTCCCGAACATTACCACCCCCTCCAGCTTCACCTGCTTGATGTCAGAGTGCTCTGGGATTTCCAGCAGCTCCATCTGCTGCTCCTGTGCCTGGGTGACGAAGGCGTCTTTAATGTCATCGGTGGCGCAGCAGCTGAGTGGCACAGGAATGACCTGGGGCGGGGTTAGAAGTCCTGTGTGCGGGTCCCGCATCGGAAGCGCCTGCTCGGTCTCAGGAGTGGCAAACCCATCACAGGGGTGGAGACGCGCCCCTCAGCACAGCCTCTCCTCAGGCCAGACAGGCCCAGGCAGCCTGTCTGGTCGGACTTAAACTTATGGGATGGCGCCACGCGCCACGTGTGGGAGCCCATGTGGTGCAGAGAGAGCTTGAGAGACGCCTCGGTCACAAGCCTCGCCAGCTCCAGTGTCATGTATGTGGCAGAGTCAGGCCCACTTGGAAACTGAACAAGTGCGCCAAAAAGAAACCACCACCACGACAAGCACACTCCCATCGACACTCAACAGCAGCAAAACACTCCCCGCCAGCTCCTCCTGCCAGGACCCATCTCCCTGGGAACTTCCTCCATGGCCCAGTCCCTTCCTCAACAAGGAACCATCTTGCTGTTCACTTGCGCTGACCACGCTTTTCCCCGTGAAATCTCTGGGGTTATCAGCAGACGCTCTTTAACCTCTCAAGAGAGCCTTCTTTAAATATTAACGGGAAAGTTCACATTCAACACTGTAGCCATTAAACTCAAATTAACCGTTCTTTAACTACTCACTTCCCACTCGGAAGGTTCCCGCAGCACCTTCCAGGTCCCTGAGCACAGAGCACCCACCTGCAGCTGGAGGTGATGGCTCCTGTAGTTCCTCTCAAACAGAATGCACCGCTTCCCGCGGCTCCTGAAGAACCGCCGCAGCGTAGCCTTGTACTTCTCCACCTCCTCCACCACCTCCGCCGAGAGCTCCACCACCGACTGGTAGTGTCCGATGGGCAGGATGAGGACGTGGTCCTCGGCTAAGCCTCCTTTGGCCAGGGCGAGGTAGCACTGAGGACACAGCACACAGAACAGAGACGTCAGAGCTGCACACGGACGGGTAGGCCCAAGGGTACAGGGAGAAGGGCTCTCGGGCTCTTCGCAGAAACTCTCTAGCTTTCAAAGTCTGCTTTTAGAGGCCGTGGCAACAGCGCTCTGCAGTGTGTGCTGAAGGGGGGGGTGAGGCACGACCAATTTCCCTGCAAGTAGCAAGGGACTGGCAGCAGACGAGCCGGGAGGGGCGTCAAGCAGTCCCTGGGCTTCCAGCGTGTGGAGTAGAAGAGGCTGGGCGGAAACAGGCGGGCTTGCCCTCCCCAGCTCCACACTTTAAAACAGGTTTTCAGTCACGTGGGCTTAGCCACACAAGGTAACACCACAGATTTCAAAATGACCACTGGCCCATCCCCTGGTCTCAGTTATACCCCTGGGCTCACAAAAAAGGCTCAAACGACTCGATTGGCCTGAAGCTGCTGACTGAACTCAGAGAGCAAACATACAATGTAACAGGGTGGAAGGCAGGGAAAACCCAAACTCAGATGCATCCAAGGAAGCGGAAAGGATGGCTCCCAGCAGTGGATGGCGGCCTGGATAGCAACAGAAAGCATTTCCATGAAAACTAGAACGTGCAGGACTGTTGTACCAGAAGCTCCTAGAAGGGAAGCCGCTGTGGGTGAACACAGAAGGGCCCAGTGAACACCGAAGCAGGCAAACCCAGGCACTTCAGGGAGAAAATCCAAATACACCCGAGTATGGTCGGTCAGAGGCAAGGCTGAAGGAAGGGGCTGTTTCTTTCTCATCTCCAACAGAACGGCAGGACAGGTCCTGGAAGCAAACTGCAGCATGGCCGTCCCGGCCTGACTTGGCAGAGAAGGCTGAGCGCACTGACAGCGTTCATTGTTTTTTCCCTTGTTTTGAGTCGGAGTCTCACTGTGGCTCAGGCTGGAGTGCAGTGGCACACTCACAACCACCGCAGCCTCAACCTGCGGGGTTCAGGCAATCCTTCCACCTCAGTCTTCCAAGTAGCTGGAACCACAGGTGTGCAGCACCATACCTGGCTAATTTTTGATTTACTGTAGAGATGAGGTCTCGCCAAGTTGCCCTCGCTGGTCTTGAATCCTTGGGCTCAGGCAGTCCTCTCACTTCTACCTCCCAAAGGGTTGGGATTACAGGTGTAACAGAGTTCATTTTCCATAAGACTAAAATTTATCCAAACCTCATGGGCATGAAAACATTTTTTAAAATAATCACCATCTCCCACTGTGTATGTCTAGACCTCAGCTGCTATACTGTGCGGTACACACCTGAAGCCTGAACTAAGCGGCTCCCCTCCAGGCCCTGTGAATAGTTTCCCACGTCCCAGTCTCCTCATCTTGCAATCTCTTGTCCTCTAATTAATTTGCTCTACACTTGAATTATCTCTAACAATGGAGAAACAGGTCCTGAATGATCGTTTCTCCCACAAGTCAGCAGCATGAGTTTTGCAATGCCTTTTTGTTTCTGAGTTGGAGTCTCACTGTCACCCAGATTGGAGTGCAGCCTTGACCTGTGGGCTCAGGTGACCCTTCCGCTTCAGCCTTCCAAGTAGCTGGAACTACTTGGAAGGAGTGTGCCACACCCAGGTAATTTTTTAAAATTTATTTTACAGACAAGGTCTTGCCAAGTTGCCCAGGGTGGTCTGAACCCCTGGACTCAGGCAATCCTCTCGCCACAGAACGGGCCCTCGGACTGTCAGGATGAGTGGAGGAAAAAGTCACCCTCGGAAACCAAAATGAAGACAAATCAATGCAGCATGGATGACAGCGCCTGCCTGCAGAAACTGCCCTCCAAGAGGCTGTCCTGCAGCGTCCCGGGTTGTCACCAGAGAGCACCAGGGACTGGGTGCTCCGCAATGGACAAGACGTACTTGGCTGCTGGTCCGGAGGCAGGGAAGTCCAACAGCATGGCGCCCGCACCGGCCCCGAGGGCCTCCACACTGCATCACCCGTGGCGGAAGGGCAAGGGGGGCGACGGCGAGGAAACAAGCAGGGCTGAACTCGCCTTCCACGCAGCCACTGGCATGAGGACCGACCTGCTCATAGTGATAACACTGATGTATCCATGAGGACGGGGTATTACGTTTCCAACACGTGAACTACGGGGGACACATGCACACCACAGCAAAAGCAGTTTGTAAATATTTTCCTCAGGAGCCTTGGGGAACATCCGATCCTAGTCATGGGTGGCTATTGTGCTGAAAATCAAGCTTTCTTCACTCTGAATGGCCGACAGGAAACCCAGGGAATGAGGATCAAAGAATGGTATTATTTAATGTCTAACTGAGCCCTACTCAAGTGAAAGAACCAGGGAAATGTGAAACAGAATGACTTTCCTGTGAGATACACTCAGTTCACAAGGACTTGCAACAGCCTGAAGAAAATCTTAAGGCCATGCAGTTCTCAGTCTAATTCAGTGCTTCCCAAGCAACCTTCCTGTCATTATCTTGGGTTCCCAAATACTCACATCAGGACTGTGAATATGGGTATTCTTGTCCTTAGAAAGCTACATCCTCTACTACTGGGCAAAAGTGAGAATGTATCTTTTAAGTCTTTGATGTGATCAGGGAGTGTGAATCAGTTCCCAGTATTACATAATGCTGGATAAAAATCAATAAGCTCATTTCTACATCTTAAACTTTATAAAAATATCAACAATTTTTTTTTGGAGTTAGAGTCTTACTCTGTCACCCAGGTTGGAGTGCAGTGGCACACTCATGGCCACCCCAGCGTTGACCTGCTGGGCTCCAGCAATCCTTCCACCTCAGCCTTCCAAGTAGCCGGAACTATAGGCATGTGCCACCACGCCCAGCTAATTTTTTAATTTATTGTAGAGATGAGGTCTCACCAAGTTGCCTGGGCTGTCTTGAACCTGCAGGCTCAGGCAATCAGCCTCGGCCTCCCAAAGTGCTGGGATAACAGGCTGAGCCACCAAGCCCGACCAAAATATCAACATTTTTAACCCAACATAAGCATATAATCAACAGAAAGCTATCTTGTTAAGGTGAAGAAAATCCCTGTTTTAAATGGTGAGTAGTTAACAAAAGCAACTCATTACTCTCAAGTAGTACAGACTAAACATACAGCAAGTTCAAGAAGTATATGAAAGCATCACCCCAGGAGAACCATATTTTTTTATGAGAGAGAGAGGAAAGAGGGGAGCTATCTTGGAAAACTGGCTGTTGCTATAGTCAGTAAGAAGCATTGATGAGGATGTGGAAAAACAGAAACCCTCATATATTGCTGGTGGGAATATAAGCTGCTGTGGTCTTTTTGGAGAACAGTTTGGTAGTTTCTTAAAAAGTTAGACATAAGTGACCCAGCAATTTCATCCCTAGGTGTCAAAGCTAAAGAAATGAAAACATGTTTCCCTTTCTCTCCCTAATAGTTTTAAAACTAAAAAGAAAAAGAAAAAGAAAACACATGCAGACACTTGCGTGCAAATGTCTCATAGCAGCATCATTCCTAATAGCATAAAGGGGAAACAACCCAATGTCCACCGACTGACGCATGGATACAGATAACATGAAGTGTATTCATACAATGGAATGCAATCTGGCAACAACAGGGACAAAACACTGACACACGCTACAGCATGGACGAACCTCAAGAAGATCACACAAAGTAAAAGAACCAGGCACAAAAGGCCTCGTATTGTATGACTCCATTGGTAACAAATGTCCAGAAAAGGCAAACCTAAGTAGGCAGTAAGGGGACTAATTGCTGCCTGGGGCTGAGGGTAGGAACAGGGATCAACTGGAAGTGCTTTCGGGATCGTACTGCGGTGATGGAAATGTTCTCAAACGGCATCACACGATGGTGGCACGACTCAGTCAGCTGACTTAGATGTCAGGGACTCGCACACTTAAAATGGGCAAATGCCATAGCTCAATAAAGCCAGTAAAACACAAACAGGCACCTCCTTCTCCGTCAAAGGGCTGTGGACGTGACTCACATGCGTGCCAATGTTGACCACCAAATGCTTCTCCACTTCAGGGCTGGCCAGGCAAAACCAGCAGGGTCCTGGAGGCGGAGCTTCATGTGGAAGAAAGCCAGGTGTTACCACGGTCCACACACTGCAGCCCAGTTGCCCCACAGAAGCCAGCCCTGGCAGAGCTTTGTATCCTGTGCACACTGCAGCCAGAAAGGCCGGGGCCCGCTGCCCTCCTCACTGTGTCCCCCCCGTCACCACTTTCAAAGAAATTAAGTCTCCACTAGAAAAGCTCAGAATCTGTAACCGATGTACAGAGTAGGTGGGCGACCCCTGCTTGGATGATCACATCTTGACTAAAGCAACATGTCGCTGGCAACAGGTGGCCATGACAGACACTGACTGGGTGTCAGGAGCCCAATTTCAGTCCCACCTGTGCCACTGGCTGGACATGTGGCCTTGACTTGACCCCCTGCCCAAGTCAGCGTCTTGTTTGAAACTGGGGGTGTGTTCACCTGGGAGACCTCTGAACCAGGGTACTTACGAGGTTTGCGAGGCTGCTTTGGGTGAGGAGATCTGTTATCTCTGCCTGTGGATGAACGCTTCCTTCCCTGCTTTTCGCTCAAATCAAAGAAAAATTGACAGGCCGATTCTTCCTGGAATGGCCACAGGCAGAAGAGTAAACATTATCCAACTAGCCTCAGTTATGCAGCTAGGCCTGCACACACAAGCAAGCCTCCCTGCCACATCGGGTCCCTCTTTCCCTCAGCCCTTTCACCTGTCCTTGGGAAGCAAAGTATCTTCCCAGCCTGAGGCCTCACAGTGATACCGGGTAATGCTTACCCAAACCACTGCCAATTTCATCTCTTTGGACCAAACAAGTTAAAATGCACATTACAGAGCAGAGCAATTCTTGCCTAAAACAGAACAAAATGGGCCCACCTGGACTCCCTTTTCCTTTTTCTCTCAGTAAGAACATGGCATAGTCCCACAGTTTCACAGATCAAAAAAGTCTGATTCAGCTTTAAGTAAAGACATGAGAAGGCTGCTCACAAGGGAATAGAAGTCTGAGGAAGCCGACCAGCAAGGAAAGTCTTAGTCTTAGTAGGAGAAAAATTAATTTCAGAAAAATCTGCTATTACAGTTTCCTCAGAGTGAATCTTATTTCTTGACTAGCAATAAAACCACCAACTACACTGCTGGCCAGTGGCTAGACCCTTGCCTGAAGAGCTAAAAACAGATCATCGCTTTAGCCAGGGAAAGACCTAGCAAACAAAACTGTCATCCCAAGCTATGATCAAGGTTGGAAAAAGAAAGATTTCACATATGAAACTGTAAACTCCAAACTACAATAAAGAGCACTGAGCTTACTTAGTAGGAAAAAAAAAGATTTAGATTCTAAGAATTAAACCTGCCTTAAGTACTAAACTATAATCAGGGAAAACGCACACGCAATGGGCAATCCCACCCAGAAAAGCCCACCCCTCAGCCAGGACATACCGCAGGGGCGGGAATTGGCTTTCCTACGGATGCCTCCTGCCCCAGCTTTCGGTAAGGGTTTTCTGTGACGTCTGGAGGCTGTTTTACCAGTTCTGCTGCATCCATCAGTTTCATGGGCACAATACTGAATGCATAAAGATACTCAAGAGAAAAAAGAAATAACATTAGGAAAAATACTGTTTTATCTAAACGTAATCAACCTATTTTACTATAAAGATTTCACAGAAACATCTGAAATTCAGTAACATTAAAAAAGCAACCAGCACTCCTGTGGCTCACAGTAAATCAAATGCAAATTCAGTGGCCTCTGCGGGGGTGAACCAAGGGCTGAAGAAGAAATGAGCATCAAATCGAAGCCCCAGTCCTCACACAAACCAGGGGGTCTCAGCCAGACAGGGAACTGTAATTCTTCTCGGAGGGCAAAGTGTCACTACAAGGCCCAGAGGGACTTTCTCTGTCACCCTTGAAAACGAACTGCTCCATCTCCGAGTCCTTTATCTCTATGTACTTTGTCAACAGAATCACTGCACTGCCATTCTTCCTACCCAATGAAAACTACAATTGGACAATGTAGGATTTCTGTCTCTGATATTATACCAATTCTGCTACACACACTGATAAAATTTCCTTAGGGGCTAGCCAGCAAAGAAGCAAGCATTCATGTAAGTATCCAGAATCTTGAACTAATGGCACACATATTAAAAACTTAAGTTAAGATAGAAATAGGTCTGTGAACTTACTACTGACCAGGGAAATGCAAATTAAGTAACAATTATACACCATTTTTCATCTATCAGATTGGCAAAATCGTCAATAACAATTTGACACTATCCAGTGAAAACGTGGAGGGAAAAAACCACATTGCTGGTAGGGGTATATATATTGGAACAAAATTTCTAGGTGAATTTAATAGTACTTGCCAAATTAAAAAATATGTATACCCTTTAACTGAAGTCTGAGTTGCCTCTGGCTGAGGTTAATGTGTCCCTGAGAGTAAAAAAATAGACTGAAAATACTGAGTGCTAGTCAGTTTGAAAAGGAAATAAGAAAAAAATCAAAATCTAAACTTGCAAAGAACTGGACTGAAAAGCTTAACATAAAGAAAACAAAGTATGTAATTGCTTTTCTTTTGAATGCACGCTATCTGTGGCATGTTGCAGTACAATAATCTTCAGATTATTTACTCGCCTATTTGTTTCGCACTTGTAAAAGTGTTCTGATTATAGCTGCCGTAATCCATGATAAGCTGTTTTGGGCCCTGAAAAATCAGAAATGCTTTCAGGAAAGTTGAAAAAAACCAACTACTTTTTTCTTTCACCACCTGCACTGTTTTCCACAACAAAGCTAGATTCCAGGTATCATGAAGGTTTCCCCAAGCCAAGGAAGACTTAGGTAAGTCCTTGGGGAGATTTAATTATTTCAGCAAATGAAGGTGCTATCAGCAGCAAGCAAGAATACCTCTGAGGGCAAATTCCCAGATACCCAGAGATACCTGCATGGAGGTAGAAGGAAAGGAATGCCGCTCATTGGATATTCTGCCTCTATTCCACTGGGCCTGTTTCCCCAAATACTTCTCTGAAACTTCCTACAAAGGAACCAAAGAAACCTGACCTCTCACCGCTAGATCTTTGCAAAGCGTTGCTGAAGCTGCTGGGACCTTCCAGCGGGGAGAAGAGAAGATGTGAACACCAAGCTGGGAAAGAGAAGCCTCTACCAGGCAGATGACGAATGGTAGCCAACCACCAGATGCAAATCCTTACCTTCTTCTTTTCTGGGTTTCCAGCATTCGCCAGAGCGATGAACCGGGTGGCATGCTGTGCATTCTCCTGTAGAACAATATGGTTTCTAGAATATATGTGAGAGACAACAGGTTACCAACACTTCCACTTTTGAAATGCTATCACAAAATATGGAGACTCCACAGAGCATGGGAAGAGCAGAGGCCCTGAGTCCACCCCAAGTCACATGACTTCAGACAAGGCCCTGTCCAGAAAGTGGGTGGCAATCCTGACCTCCCAAGGCTGTGTTAGGAAAAGATGCAATCGTGTCTCCGAAAAGCATGAAAACTCCAACTTTTGGCTTTAAGAGTTGTGAAATTGCCAGGTACGGTGGCTCACGCCTGTAGTCCCAGCAGTTTGGGCAGAGACAAGAGGACTGCTGGAGCCCACAGGCTCAAGACCGGCCTGGGTAGCTTGGTGAGACCTCATCTCACAAGAAATCAAGCCGGGCGCAGTGGCTCATGCCTGTAATCCCAGCACTTTGGGAGCCCGAGGCGAGAGGACTGCCTGAGCCCAAGGGTTCGAGACCAGCCCAGGCAACATGACAAGACCTTGTCTCTACAATAAATCAAAAAACTAGCCAGAAGTGGTGGTGTGTACCTGTAGCTCCAGTTACTTGGAAGGCTGAGGCAGAAGGATCACCTGAGCCAGCAGGTCGAGGCTGTGGTGGCTGAGAGTGTGCCACTGCACTCCAGCCTGGGCGACAGAGTGAGACTACAACTCAAAAAAAAAAAAAAGAGTTGTGAAATTGGCAAAATGCTGGTAACTGCTAAAGCTGAGTGAGGGGGACATGAGGGTCCACTGCACCCCACCCCCTCTTATTCTGTGTAATAAAAAGTTAAAACAATAAAAACTAAAAATAAATATATTCCAAATGGAAAAAACATGTCTCAAGTAGTAATATATAGTATGACTTCATTATTCTAGGAAAAATATATGAGTATGTCACACCAAAAAATATGCAAACTATATATGCCAAAATACCCTTTTGAGCTTTTCTGTTTTAAAAGTATTCTAAGCCGGGCTCGGTGGCTCAGCCTGTAATCCTGCGCCTTTGAGTGGCTGAGGTGAGTGGACTACATGAGCCCGCGGGTTCGAGACCCGCCTGGACAACTTGGCGAGACCTCATCTCTACAATAAATCAAAAAATTAGCCGGGCGTGGTAGCGCACCCCTGTAGTTCCGGCTACTCGGAAGGCTGAGGCGGAAGGATCGCCGGAGCCCAGCGGGTCGAGACTGCAGTGACCGGGAGTGGCCACTGCACTCCAGTCTGGGCGACAGAGTGAGACTCCAACTCAAAAAAAAAAAAGTATTCTACACGAGTAACTATTAGCTGTAATTTTTAAAAAGCTTATGGTATTTTATAAATATATACACATATACACATATATATGGATAGACAGATAGATACACAGACATACATATAACTTTTAGTGAGATGACCATGAAAAATACAGATGTCAATCCTTACAGTCCTTTACTTTCCTCATGCTACAAAAATTTCCTGAGTCTGTCATGACAGATTTTATTTTTGTTATGTAGCACAAAGTCATTTTATATAAATACACAAATATGTCTTTTATATTCAACATGGCAAGACCTAGCCTCTACAAAAAATCAAAAATTAGCTGGGTGTGGTGGCACACACCTGTCATCCCAGCTACTTGAGAGGCTGAGGAGGATCACCTGAGCCCAGCAGCTCGAGGCCACGGTAGCCATCAGCATGCCACTGCATTCCACCATGGACGACAAACCGAAAAAAAAAACAAACCACTATCCGGGGTAGCATTCTTCATAAACAATATTTAAGATAAACAAGGGAAATGTCCTTCCAACTTTCTATCTATCCTTGCAGTTTCCCTGCAATATCAGTTTCCTATTGCTGCAACACATTACTGCCAACTTGTAACTTAAACAGGACATATTTATGATCTCAGGTAGCCTGACAGGCCTCCCTGGGCCAAAATCAAGGTGTTGGTGGGGAGTATTCTTTTCAGAGGTTGCAGGGCAGCGTTCATCTCCTTCTCCATCTTCTGGAGGCCACCACATGCCTGCCCCTGGCTCCACCCAAGCCAGCAGCGGCAGGCTGACTCCTCTCACCACTCCAACCGCCTGCAGGCATTCTTCCTGTGGACTCTCATCTGCACACCTCTCCATTTTTGTGGACTCTCATGCTTGTGGTGGGTCCCCCCAGGCATCCAGGACCATCTCCCTGTCCAGAGGCCAGCAGCCAGCTACTGCCGAGCTGATGGAGTCCATCTGCCACTTCGCTTTCCCCTTTGCTGTGCAAGCGGACGCACTGGCAGGCTCTGGGGATTATGGCAGGGACTTTGCCTCCCACGCTAGACAGCTTACTAGTGGACAGTGTCGGCAGGTGTCTCCACTGCACTAGTCACTACACGCATTCACGAAAGACACTTCTGCAAGGTGTTCAGAGGAAAGAATGCATCCTACCAACACCATGATTTTAGCCCAGGGAGACCTGTCAAGCTACCGTGAGGTCATAAGTACGTCTTAAGTTACAAAGTTGGTGGTAATATGTTACACAGCAATAGAAAACTCATGTTTTTCCTTATGTTTTCATAAACTGGGACTACAGGCCTTGCACGAGCATGCCCAGCCCTGAAAAGGAAAAAACTGACACAAGTTCTTGCTTCTCAAACTGAAATATTTCTAAAGTGATCACACTGAGATCTGAGTTTTCAAGACCATAGAAAGAGCTACAATAATTAAACAGTATTGTTCCTGCAGACCTGTAAACCTGCAGGGGTCTCAGAGTCCAATCCCTTGAATTTCAAGTTAGGGAACACACTCAGAGAAGCTGAACGACTTGACAGTCTTGCCTTCCAGTGCCTGACTGGCCAAATGGAACTGAAGCATTAGATGGCTAAAAATGAACAAAGGCAGTTTGCACAGAAGATCCCGGGCAAATTCTTCAAAAAGCCAAAGAAAATGAAACGACTGTCCTGAAGTACTCACCGATATGGAAGCCTCTCATAGTAGGTCTTTTCCAAAGCAGCAAAATGGTATCTTGGCTTCAGGTCTGTGGCAAGACTGGAGACCAAAGCAGAACCACATTTTTTGGTGTCGACGTCTCCCTAGCAAACAGAAGCTCAGTCACCTATACAGACCCAAGAGTAACCAAGCAATGCAAAGAGATAGGAAGACATTTTGTAATGCCCTTAAAATTTACACAAGAACACAAGCATGGGCAAGATGTGCACAGTCAGAAAAATCCAGCAAATGAGGGAACTGGACTATGAGGAATGCAGAAATAGGAACAACTACTGGAAGCCAGAGGTCAAAAGGTAACTCCATGCTGATACCCAAAACACAGATTACTATAACCTTAATCCCGCGCCTTTGGGAGGCTGAGGTGAGTGGATTGCCTGAGCCCGTGGGTTCGAAACCTGCCTGGACAGGCGAGACCTCATCTCTACAATAAAATAAAAAATTAGCCAGGTGTGGAAGCGCACGCCTGTAATTCCAGCTACTCGGAAGGCTGAGGCGGTAGGATCACCGGAGCCCAGCAGGCGAGGCTGTGGGGGCCGGGAACGGCCACTGCACTCCAGTCTGGGCGACAGAGTGAGACTCCAACTCAAAAAAAAAAAAAAGAAAAAGAAAACAAGCTGTCTCTCTGGACCACAAACTGGGCTTCCAGTTGGCAATGCACCTGAAGTTCTGACAATTCAGATAGTCGGTCAATGCAGAAAACCAAAAGTAAAGCTAGGCTTCAGGGCCCCTGGGACACATAGGGTATCTGGCACAGAACATTCCAGGTCTTCTTCCCGTCAGCATAGAATCCTTCATTGTGCTTCAGCAAGGAGTGGCAGCTTGCAGAAGGGCTGACCCACACCCTTGTTATGAAGACTGTAAGCACATGAAGGCTTGTCCCCAGCACATTCCTAGCTTCTGATGACAACCCATGACAGACCTCTCACCCATGACCTTATTTGTGAACCCTATTCTCAGAGAAGGCATTCGCTGGAAATGAAGAAATGACCCACATCGGTTTTCCACTAAGTGAAGATGCCCCTCTCTGGTCTCCTGCCTGCTTCCTGCAGGTTTCTGCTGCAGGGAGGGAAGCAGCCCTGAGGCCAGTCGTAGCATCTCAGGGGTCAGTGAACTGTGCTTGTCTCCCGCATAAAGGAATGACATGGCCATCTGTAACTCTGATCAAAGTCCTCCTGTGGCTCCCCAGGGAAGGGGCCTCACTTCCTCACGCTTCCTTGCAGAGCACCACAGGCGACCCTCCCCGCCATCGGCACCTCCACAGCTCTCCCCAGGGTCCTCCCTCGCTCTATGTCCTTGTGTTGCCACCAGCACTGCCTGTTCCACTCCAGGTGAGGAGTGACCACCGGTTTGGTGGAAAGGAAGAGTGCACAGACCCTGTTCCCCGCAACATCCCTTCGACAACGCCTGGCATCTCATGGGCCTTTTTGGCCATGGACACACGGTGCCAAGGCTGGCAGGGGGTGGCCTCCAGGGCCCCCTGCTGGATCAAGATGGCCCCGAGCCTGCTCACGGAGACTAGTTCCAAGATGAGTCTACAGTTGCCTGCGCTGAAGCTCAGCTGGTGCTTTCAGCCCTCACACAGCCTCCCCAAGGGCATGTCTCCACCAGGGCAGCGTTTCACTCTTCAAGACCACTTACTGATCAAACGCGGCAGTGAGCTCCAGTGCATCCCAGTCCCAGAGTGTCCCTCCCCACGAGCGAAGTACCAAGTCTTCAATACCTTGTTCCTCATCTTTAGATCACTAGCCTCAATGCCAGCTTTTGGCATTCTGAAAAACATTCTAATTTAAAATATTCTTCCATTTTGAAAAACACTCTGATAGCTAAAAAGTAATCATATGAACAGAAGGAGAAAACATAACTGCAGAGCTGCCATTACCTGCAAATCTCTTCACTGAAAATGAACCCTCAAAACAAAGTAAGGGAAGGCTTGAGAAGAGGCACCTGAACCAGAGAGTATAAATAACCATTCGGGGTCAAGCTCAGGGAGGCCGAGGCCAGTGGACTGCCTGAGCCTGCAGATTCGAGACCAGCTTGGACAACTTGGCGAGACCTCATCTCTACAATAAATAAAAAATTAGCTGGGCCCATAGCACACACCTGTAGTTCCAGCTACTTGGAAGGCTGATGCTGAAGGATCACTGGAGCCCAGCAGGTCGAGACTGGGGTGGCCATGAGCGTGCCATTGCACTCTAGCCTGGGCAATGGAGTAAAACTTCAAGTCAAAAACAAAAAACAAAAAACAAAAAAAGAACCATTTGGGGGCCAGGTGTGGTGGCTCACGCTTGGAATTCCAGCACTTTGGGAGGCTGAGGTGAGAGAATCGTTTGAGCCCAGGAGTTTGAGACCGGCCTGGGCAACACAGTGAGATCTAGTCTCTACAAAAAATGAAAAAGATAATCAGACATAATGATATGTGCCTGTAGTCCTAGCTAATCAGGAGGCTAAGGTGAAAGGATCACCTGAGCCCAGGGGGTCAAGGCTGTGGTGAGCTGTGATTGTGCCACTGCACTCCAGCCTGGGGAATAGAGACTCCAATTTAAAAAAAAAACAAAACCAAAAACCATTCACTTGTAGTCAAGATTTCAGCAATGTCATCTGCAAATCATACTTCTGTAAAATAGCTTTTGCTTTGGTCAGATCACATGGCTCTAAGACTCCTAAAACATTTCACAAAAGGTTTCTAGTGAAAGGTACCAGGGCTAAATTATGTGATATGAAGAGCAAGAGCCACAAGCCCACTTATGCCATGCAACGTGCTTTTAGAAATGCCAGCTGAACAGGCGCTACTCACAGAAGGATTCCCGAAGGTCCCCACATACTTGGGCCACGGGGATGTGAGCAAGATATCAACACCCTTAAAGTGGGAGGTGGAACACAACGTCGTTCTCAGGGAAGACACATCCTTGGGACTGAAACTGTAACCCGGGACGGGCTCATGCAAGGACTCTGTCCCACTGAGGTACACAATCTGCAGCCCCGAGCTTCCAGTGAAGACACCTTTGCGACCTGGGTTCAAAGAAAAACGAGCAAGTTGTAGTCCAAACTGCAGAACGAAACGCCATCAGCACGGTGCTGCACCTCCCCTGCTACGACTTGCCCATGCCCCTGTGTGTACACGCCTGGAGGAGGAGCTCTCCTGAGGCCCCTCTGGCTGTCCTGGGCAACATGGGGCGGCGACCACAGGATTCCTGCTCAGTAGTGTGAGCAGCCCTCACGTGGAGGCTGTGGAAGCCCACGGGCCAGGCTGTTGATGCCAGGTGCCTCATAAATATCACTGAAAAAAATGAGGAAGCAAAAGATTTTTTAAAAGGTTTCTTGCCTTCTAAAGAAGACTCTACATGGCCTAGAAGAACTCAGACACCCAGAAACAGGAAAAGGCAAGGAGAAGGCAAAGCTGTTACAGTTGTAAGGCTGCCACAGGCTGGGAAGGATGTGCTCTTAGGCAGGCAGCAATCTCCAAGGCAAACAACATCTGGAAAGAGCACCTGTGAGAGAAGCCCAGAGACCTCCTCCTCCCTAGAGTTCCTCCAGGAGAGCAGCCTCGATTTCACTCCCTCCCGTCGCCTCCAGCCCACGTACCCTCAACCATCACTGCCCTTTCATCTCCTGACTGTCTTCTTCTTAACTTGCTTTCTCTGTGGGAAAGGACACGTGCACTCATCCTCCGAAATGAACACACACACTAAGAATTCCCCCCGCTCCGTTCTGAATGTCTGAAAAGAGCAGCCCGTGCCCTCTAAGTACTTTACCTCTTAATTAACCCACGGCAAGCAGTTCACCTCTCCCACTACGCTCTGAAAGGTCCCTGTCACCCTGTGTTCATCAGTGGCCTCTTCTCCTGAAACTGCGCACGCTACACTTAGATTCTGTGCACCTGACAGTGTCTGCATCTCTCCCAACAGCCCCCTCTCGGCTATATTCTTCATCTTTATGGGACCAACTCCCTACAGCCAACACTCTTCAACACTGACACTCTCGAAAGAACTGTCACTTCCAAACAGATGTCAAATGCCTCACCAGCACTTCAGGCTCACAAGCACATGCTCATCGTCAAGTTCACCACTCACTCCTCCTCCTGAATCCAAAGAATCTGTTTCATAGAAAAAACCCAAGTACCTCAGCTTCCCTTTCCATTCCTGGCACTAATTCATAGAGTAAAAGGGCTGCCAAATATCTACAGCCGTGCTCTCAATCCAAAACCAAAAACTATACCAAGAACTGCCATAAGACAGGTCCATGTTAACATCTACAAAAACCGAATTTCAAAAGGCACATCTAATGCAGTTAAAAACAGCAGTGCGGCGGTTCATACCTGTAGTCCCAACACTTTGGGAGGCAAAGGTGAGAGAACTGTCTGAGTCCAGGGGTTCAAGACCAGCCTGAGCAACTTGGTGAGCCCTCATCTCTACAATATATGAAAAAATTAGCTAGGTATGGTGGCGCACGCCTGCAATTCCAGCTCCTTGGAAGGCTGAGGCGGAAGGATGACTTGAGCCCAGCAGGTCGAGGTTGTGGTGGCTGTGATCGTGCCACTACACTCCAGCCTGGGCGACAGAGTGAGACTCCTACTGAAAAAAACAAACAGTGCTCGCTTCAGCAGCACGCATACTAAAATTGAAATGGTGCAGAAGCCAAGAGCAGTGGCTCATGCCTGTAATCCCAGCACTCTGGGAGGCTGAGGTGAGAGGACTGCCTGAGTCCACAGGTTCGAGGCCAGCCTGGGCAGCATGGTGAGACCTCGTCTCTACAACAAATCAAAAAATTAGCCAGGCATGGTGGCACACACCTGTAGTTCCAGTTACTTGCAAGGCTAAAGTGGAAGGATCGCCTGAGCACAGCCTGAGTGCAGCAGGTTGAGGCTGCGGTGGCAGTGAGCATGACACTGCACTCCAGGGTGAAACTCCAACTCAAACACAAACAAACAAAAAAAACAGTGCAGAGAAGAAGAACATGGCCCTGCATACGGTGGACATGCAAATTGATAAAGTGCTCCATATTAAAACAGGAATAATAAACAAACAAAAATCCCTCCCTCAGTTTTTTGCTTAAAGGAGCCCCACATAATTGCAGCAAGATGGGACTGCTAACATGAGGCCCACAGTCAGAAAGAGAGAGACTAAGACCCAGAGGTGGGAGAAAGCGGTGGGCCTTTATAGCAAAGGACAGGTAGAGGCTGCTAGAGGAACGAGCCCAAGAGGAAGTGAGCTGAATGATCAAGAGGGTTTCTGTCGACGGACAGCAGGTGAGAGACAAAAGCGAGTGGACGGGACTTTTGAGAACGGTCAAGCATCAAAAGAACCACTAAGCATTTACAGGGTGTGGAGGGAATGTGATGCTGGAACTGAAGAATGTACCTGGAACCAGGAAAAGGACAGGAGAAAGAAAAGCAAACCAAGGGATGAGCACTAACAACTTAAGCTGCTGAAACACTGGCGTGAAACGCAGAACTGTAACTAGCTGGGAGCCTAACAAACAGGTAAGCTGCATACTTACCTAGCAAGGTTATACGGCAGGGCCACGTACGCGGAACTGCCTTTACCTGAACACAGTGTATACCTTAAATATGCCCTACACACAGACAAGAAGCGTATCCCTCTAGTTGGCCAAGAGTGTGTACTGGGTTGTGGGATCAAAGGGGGGCTGGGGAAAGTTGAGAGACAATAAAGGAAGAATGTCACTGTCCCAAGGGCACAGACACAGATATGGGGAAAAATCCCTCTAACCCTCATTCTCAGGCAGTCATGGCAAAAAAATTCAGCCAAAAATTTCTTACAAGACTAATTCCCAAGAACACTATATTTATATTATGTTCAATACAAGCAGAAAAAACCTCCACTTACCTAGATAAGTAATGTTCTCAGCCAATTCACACCCATCATCCTGGAAATATTTCATTGTTTCCTGGTTGTTGGCGCCGAGCACACACGTCTGGATAGGAGCTAATGAGAGAAGCAGATGGGGTGCCAGTTACCAGATCTGCTCTGGAACCTCAGACCTGCTTCTCCAGAGGAAAAGCACTCACAGCAAGTGCCAAGAGACCGGGCGCTCACACCCCCCATGGCAATCCTCATAGCAGCTCACCACCAAGGACACTCTACACCCAGCCCTGGGGCTGGACTATCGATGGTATCACCAGCTGATGACACCCGTCTTAAAGAGGAGGGTAGCTGCTGAGAACAACACGGGTCCTCACGCCACAATGAAAAACACAATCAGCAGAAAGGGGAAGGGATACGTATTTAAACTGGGTGTATTTATTCAGTTCCTGCCAGACTAGGAGAATACTGTCTTCTGGAATGAAACTGAACCAAATTCAAAATGTGAACACAGAGGTCAGGACAGGCATTCTTCCTAGCTCAACACAGAGCTCAAAAGGGAAATTCCTAAATAATTAACACGTGCAAAACAACCTGACAAGAACTGCAGCCCTTGAAAGTCTGTTAGAGTCGGGCTCGGGGGCTCAGCATGTAATCCCGCACCTTTGGGAGGCTGAGGTGAGTGGATTGCCTGAGCCCGCGTGGGTTCGAGACCCGCCTGGGCAGCAAGACCTCATCTCTATAATAAATCAAAAAATTAGCCGGGCATGGTAGCGCGTGCCTGTAATTCCAGCTACTTGGAAGGTTGAGGCGGAAGGATCGCCAGAGCCCAGCAGGTCGAGGCTGCGGTGGCTGGGAGTGGCCACTGCACTCCAGTCTGGGCGACAGAGTGAGACTCCAACTCAAAAAACAAATCGTTCGCTAAAAATAAAAATAGATTCGTACCTTTCTTGCCGCCAGTCTTATACTCCTCCCACTCAGCATCTGGGGTGGAGCCAAAGAAATTTCCTACACACAACAGCAGCTAAAATAAGTTTTTTAAACAGATAGATGAGATTTTTAAATACCAAACAGTACACAATTGATAGCAACATTCAACTGATTATCCTACTTAGTGGCCTTAAACCAAATGTTTATTCTCAGTTTGCAATTTCAATACACAATTCTTCAGCAGCAATCTTAAGAGTCAGCAATTCTATCGATTACTAAATTTTAGCTCACTGGCTGTCAAATTCAAGTTGGAGATGGGGAAGAGGGAGACAGGGAACCCAACTTTTTAAGAGGTCAGAATCCAAGTGTTCCTCATACTTCCCCTGTCCCACTCAGCCGCCTCCAGCAATCTCCACCCTCCTCCTCCCAAGCATATAAATACAGAGAAACAGACCTTGAAAGAATCCCCGTGCCTTACAAAACTTACAACATTAGACACTCTGAGACTCAGGCGTAAGAAACACACTTCCTGCCTATTGTCTTTACTCAAACCTTTAGCCCAGCGAGCAAATGCTCCTCACCCCCAGGATCCTCCCTGCTCTCTGGAGTTTACGGTCCAGCTGGACCCATACGTAACGCTCGCACAGGGCTCTCCACTTGGGAAGCATCTGCACACATGTCAGCTGACTGAATCCATACCCTATACTCAAGCGGATCTGTGCTTCCCAGGCCCGGGGCCAAAATCATCTAGGGAAGTCTTCCTAGTTTGTCTCCAGTTTTTTGTACAGTGATAAAGTAGCAAGATTCAGATTCAAGAAGTATGAAAGGTCTATAGTGAATAACCCCCTCCTCCCCACCCACCCCCTCCCCCGACTCCACTGCTACTGAGTCCCCACGCTCACAGAAGCAACTCAGTCTCACAAGGCTGGAAACCAGTAAAGGAGCCCAGACTTTAGGATGTCTAACTACAATGGTAAAACTAAATTCAGCAAAAAAACATCTTACATCGAAGTTTCCACTTTTCTTCTGAATTGCTCGAACTCGGTTGAATAAAACATCAAACTTCCCTTCCACATCTCCGCAAGCCAAGCTGCAAACAAGAGACGAGCATTACAGCGACTCAGGGAACACTTGTGGGCCCGCCAGAGGTGGCACACCTGGTCTTCTAGATTTGGCAGGTACATGAGCCAGTCTCTGGGGGGACCTTGCGAGGTTCAGCACGTGCAACCACCAGCACTCCTCGAGGCCATCCAGCACCTCACCCGCCATCGCTGACACGAAGCGGATCAGGTCCTCCACACCGAGCTGGCTGCTGCTCCTCATGCCTGGGTTCTGTGGATGGGTCTACCGCCAACTGGATCACCAAGAGTCAAAATTCCCCCAGCTAGTCACCAAGTCCCACCAACCCCTTTTTTCAAGCATCTTTCACACATTCATTCTGTCCTCATTTCCACTGTCACCGTCTTAGCTCAGGGCTTCAGTCATTCATTCGACAAACATGCACTGGACGCCTACAACACGCTAAGTACAACATGCCAAGCAGCTCGTTAGGAGGACGAAGCCGGGGAAGACTCAGTTCCAGCCTCAAGGAGTTTACCCTCAGGGAAGGTTCATTATGAATTCAGTTGCTCAGTCATCATAAATTCATTAAAAAGCAGCTATAGGAGGAGATCTGTGTGAAGTGTTAAGGGCAGGAGGCAGAAAATGGCAGCTAAGGTTGGTGGGAGGACTGGCCCTAAGTTGAAAAGTGACTTGTTCTAGCATTTCTGCATTTTTCCAATTCTGATTTGTATAGTTTTCCCACAGCTCAAATCATTTTCTTAATGTCTTTCAGCTCACCTTGAAATATCATTTTATTGTTTTGTTAGCATGTCTCTCGGGTGTACTTGTATCGTCCACCTCCCTGAACGTTTTCAAGCAGGGTAGTGACATGATCTTATCTGCTTTAGAAAGATCGTTTCAGTAACAGTGAGATGGTCTGCAGGAGACTATAAGCAAAACATCGACAAGAAGAATTGATGAAAATGGGGAGGGGAGGAGGGAAGTCAGACAGAAAGTGAGGGAGAAGCAGTGTGAATACGCAGGGCTGAGCATCCTGGCATGGCACAGGCAGAATGACAAAGAAACACAACAAATCTGGCATCAGACACAAAGCAGAGAACAAGCTTGTGCTTCCTCTAATGCCTTATCTTCTTCCCGTCCATCCGACCTAAAGCTATCGGTTTAATGTTCTTTCCTCAAAAACATTCAGAGGATCCCCCGCAGCTTTCCACAGACCCCTATCAGCCTTTCCAGGCTTCCTCCAGGTTTCCTCCAGGTCAATCTGATCACTCTCTGCCACTCTGGGGCAGTTATCTCTCCTATTAGTCCTAAGAGTAATCCTATGCTTATCCAGAGTCTATGTTTGTCTCATTCTTCAAGGCCTAGCACATCTCTGAAGCCTCCTGCCTGGCTCAGAAAGTCACTTCCTTCTCAAAGTCTCAAGAACCTGGTTCGAGATCTGCCTGGGCAACTTGGCGAGACCTCATCTCTACAATAAAAATCAAAAAATCAAAAAATAGTCTCAAAAACCCATGTCACAGCATTTCAGAGCAAGCTCTGTCATATAAAAAATACTATTCATACAGTTTTTTGGGTTTTTTTGAGTTGGAGTCTCACTCTGTTGCCCAGACTGGAGTGCAGTGGCCGCTCCCGGCCACCGCAGCCTCGACCTGCTGGGATCCAGCGATCCTTCCACCTCAGCCTTCCAAGTAGCTGGAACTACAGGCGCGCGCTACCATGCCCGGCTAATTTTTTGATTTATTAAGAGATGAGGTCTCACCAAGTTGCCTAGGCAGGTCTCGAACCCGCGGGCTCAGGCAATCCACTCACCTCAGCCTCCCAAAGGCGCAGGATTACAGGCTGAGCCACCGAGCCTGGCATTTTATTTGTCTTTTGAGCTCCACCTCTTTTAGGAAGACCTCCAGTTCACACAATTTACTAATGTCTAGTGCTCCCACAGGAACTTGCACTTCGGTCAAGCAGTTGTCAAGTGGAATTATCCTTGTTTCTAAGAGGCCCACTGTCTGGCCTAGATGTCATAAGGTGCCTCCTCCCCAGGCCAATGTGTATCTTTGTAGCTTCGTTTTTAACAAAATAGTTTTTGATTTGTTTTGTTTTTCTTTTTCTTTTTTTAGTTGGAGTCTCACTCCATTCCCCAGGTTAGGGTGCAGAGGCACGCTCACGGCCACCCCAGCGTCGACCTGCTAGGTTCAGGCGACACTTCCACCACAGCCCCCCAAGTAGCCAGAACTACAGGTGCACAGTACCACACCTGGCTAATTTTTGATTTATTGTAGAGACGAGGTCTCATCAAGTGGCCCAGGCTGGTCTTGAACTCGTGAGCTCAGGCAATCCACTAGCCTCAGCTTCCCAAAATACAGGGATTACAGACTAAGCCACTGAGCCCAGCCCAGTGTACTATTTTTTTTATCTTTTATGTCACATTTTTACTGTACCTTTTCTGTATTTAAACACAAAAATACTGTTTTGTGACAGTTGCCTGCAGGACTCAGTACAGTCACGTGCTGTACAGGCTGGCGCCTAGAAGCAACAGACGAGACCACACAGCCCAGGAGCGTGTAGGCTAGCTAGACCACCCAGGTTTGTCTGAGGACACTCCTGATGTTCACACAGCAGCAAAGTCACCCAACAAGCTGTTTCCCAGAACGTGTCCCTACCATTCAGGGATGCGATCCTCACTGTGACTCCGAAGAAAACACTCTCCTCGTGCGCCCTCCCAGAACTGCCAACCTTTTCTTCCCAGCATTTACCACGACCCTGTTTACATCCATCTGGTTGGTCTCTTCACCGCCTGTTCCCCTAGAACACGCTCTCCACTGAAGCAGCAGCTCCACCTGCTTCCACCCCACCTGGCCCACCGCGGCTCTCCACGAGTCCGTGTTGAACGCAGTCCTCTCCTCACCACCCATCGCCACTCCTCCCCAAAAAAGGGTGCCAGGGAGGCCAGACGCAGTGGCTCACGCCTATAATCCCAGCACTTTGGGAGGCCGAGGTGAGAGGATTGCCTGAGCCCGCGGGTTCGAGACCAGCCCGGGCAATTTGGCGTAACCTCATCTCTACAATAAATCAAAAAATTAGCCGGGGCGCAGTGGTGCATGCCTGTAGTTCCAGCTACTTGGAAGGCTGAGGCGGAAAGATCGCCTGAGCCCGGCAGGCCGAGGCTGCGGTGGCCGGGAGCGTGCCCCTGTACTCCAGCCTGGGCTACGGAGTAAGACTCAGATAAAAAAAAAAAAAAAAAAAAAAAAAAAGAATGTCATGGCCGAATGTGGTGACACACATATGTAATTCTAGCACTTTGGGAGGCCGAAAGATTGCTTGAGCCCAGGAGTTCAAGACCAAGACCAGCCTGGGCAATACAGTGAGACCTTGTCTCTACCAAAAACAAAAAAACAAAAAACTAGCTGGGCGTGTAGTCTCAGCTACTCAAGGAGGCTGAGGCGGAAGGATCGCCTGAGCCCAGGAGGTCGAGGCTGCCGTGAGCCATGATCGTGCCCCTGCGCTCCAGCCTGGGCGACAGAATGAGGCTCCAGCTCAAAAACGGGGGGGGGGACACCAGGGAAGGGTCCCTACCTGTTCCCCCGCCCACCGCCCGGGGCCCCATCGGAAAGCACTTGCGTCAATAAACACCCGGGGCTAGGGGAGACACGGCCGGGAGACGACGTGCCGGAGGCCAGGCCCGCCTAAGACGGAGGCGGCCTCACTCCGGAGCGTCCACCTCTTCCAGGGACCGGCGCCAAGAGTCCCCGCTCGAAGGCGAAAACGGCCGGGAGAAAAGGTCGATCCCCGCCGGGCTCCGACGTGACCCGGGCTCCCCGGCAGCCTGCACCTGCCGCCTGGTCCTGGTCCCCTCCCGGGGTGCGAAAGACCCCCGGCCGTCTCCACACCCACACGCACACGCGCGCACAGGCTCCCGGGCAAGGCCACTCACATGCGCAGCGGCTTCTGTGCCATCCGTCCGAAGGGCCGGGGAGCGGGCGACCACCTGACACCGGGAGTCGGAGTCCACGCTCGTCGGGGAAACGCACCGTCGCGGCAATAGGACGTCACGCGCCCCCGCCCAGGAGCGCGCAGTCGCCTACGGAGAGCGCCGAGGGACAGAAACCTCTCGCCGGCGGTTGCCCCTCCAAGGCGTCTGGAAGGGAAGAGAGAGCGGGGGGGAGGAAGGGAGGAGAGATGACCGCGGGGATTCCGCTTATCATCTTTTCTTTTTTTTAATTTCAGAGCGATTGAAGCTCGTGAGCTGCTAGAAAGCACGTCCGTCTCCATCCAGGTTTTTCCTGTTTTGAACCTATCCCAGGTTTAGAATAACGGCCGGCCCCTCGATTCGAAACGTCTCAGCAGGTTCCCTAATCGCTCGCTCTCTCCCCCTGTCCCCATCCCCCGACCCTTCTCCCTCTCTCTGCCCTCTTTTTTTCCTTTTTTTGAGTTGGAGTCTCACTCTGTGGCCCAGACTGGAGTGCAGTGGCCGCTCCCAGCTACCACAGCCTCGACCTGCTGGGCTCCGGCGATCCTTCCGCCTCAGCCTTCCAAGTCGCTGGAACTACAGGCACGTGCTACCACACCCCACTAATTTTTTGATTTATTGTGGAGATGAAGTCTCGCCAAATTGCCCAGGCGGGTCTCGAACCTGCGGGCTCAGGCAATCCACTCACCTCAGCCTCCCAAAGGCGCGGGATGACAGGCTGAGCCACCGAGCCCGGCCTCTCTGCCCTCTTTTATTCTGAGTCACTTGAAGGTCAAGTGCAGGCCAGGCGCGGTGGCTCACGCCTATAATCCTAGCACTTTGGGAGGCCTATAGGTGAGAGGATTGCCTGAGTCCACGGGTTCGAGTCCAGCTTGGGCAACTTGATGAGATCTCATCTTTACAATAAATTTTTTTTTTTAAATCAGCCGAGCGTGGTAGTGCATGCCTGTATTTCCAGCTCCTTGGAAGGCTGAGGTGGAAGGGTCCCCTGAGCCCAGCAGGTCAAGGCTGTGGTGGCCATGAGCGTGCCCCTGCACTCCAGCCTGGGCAACAGAGTGAGACTCCGACTCCAAAAAAAAAAAAAAAAAAAGAAAAGAAAGTCAAGTGCAAATATCAGGAACTCCTCAGCTTGGATCTCCTAAGAATACGAACACCCTCCTGCATAAAAATAATGCCCCATACACCTAAGAGAGTTAACAGTAATTCACTCCTATCATCTAATGACTTCCATATTCCAAGCTCTCCCTCTGTCCCTCCACGTGGTTTTGTACTTGGGGTTTGTTTCCTTCAATCGGGTCAAGTTCATCTACAAAAGCCCTCCCACCTTTCAGGTTTTGTCTTTCATGGCATTGGCTTTTGTAAAGCGTTCAGTCCAGTTGGTAGGAGACAACCGTGCATAAGGAAATGGAAACCAAGGAGAGAGTTTCTGACAACTGACAGGAAGGGAAGGACTCATTGAGGGCTCATCCAAAATTAAGGAAGAACTGAAGAAATGCAAAGCTCTGTTTCTTCCCACAACATTCTGCAATGCTTTCGAGGGAACGACCAGGTTCCTTGCCCTGTAAATACCGGTGCCCCGTTCAGCCGGCACACTAAACATGGGTTTTTTCTACTGAATGGTAATGCCACACTACCCAGAAGTGGAACTCAAGACTGAATCCTGAAAAAGAATAGAAGTTTGCCAAACACAGGTAGGTGAAATTCCAAGAAGAGGAAACAACAGTAAGAATATGAAAACGCATCTGTGGCCGGACTCAGTAGCTCAGCCTGTAATCCCGCGCCTTTGGGAGGCTGAGGTGAGTGGATGGCCTGAGCCCACGGGTTCGAGACCCGCCTGGGCAGCGAGACCTCATCTCTACAATAAATCAA